ATGATTTCACTGGGCATGTCCAGATTATGTCACCGGCGGCCTCACCCCATGCCACAGAGTCAGACGGTAGCATCCTGAGGTGGTAGACTGCACTACTCCAGTCTGTAGGTAGGGGGGGGGTGCATGTGGAAGAGAATTTTTGGCTGTGCCCCAGTTTAAAGTTACCTGCAACTGAACAAGTAGCACATGAAAGATAAAGAGTCCAACCTTTCCCCTGTTGAGCTAGTTTTCCAATTGCAAGGTTTTGGGGAGAGAGTTGCAGAGAGGAACATTAGAACTGTGATCAACGAACCTGCAATCTGAAACTAAAATGCCTCCTCCCTCCTCAGAACCACACTACCTCCGTCTCGTGCATAAGTAGACCGTGACTAAGACTGGTCCCCTAACGACACAAGAGCTGTTCCATGTTTCACCCACCAACAGGCAGAGAAAGCTGTTCGGGATCATAGGCGAGCACGCGAGGAGACTCACGCCACTGGCTGCCTTTCTCTGCTCATTGTTTACCACCCCTCCCTCCCCAACTCCTAAAGAAGATTAGCTACTCTGGAGAATAGCAACCATAATAATTATTATTATCATCATTTGGCAGTGTGTGTTGTATAGCCAGGAGATCCGAAGATTGTCTGGCAGCCTTAAGTTCTAACTCTTTTAGCATTATGCACCACTAGGTGGTGAGCTGGATTTATTGGGGGGGGGGGTTGAGAGAGCTCTGAGAGAGCTGTGACTGACCCAAGGTCACCCAGCTGGCTTCATGTGTAGGAGTTTGGAATCGAACCCAGTTCTCCAGATTAGAGTCCGCCGCTCTTAAACACTACACCACGCTGTCTCTCTCTACCAACTATATATTCAGGAGAATACCAACCACTCCTCAGTCTCCTGCTTCCCAATTTTAGTTTACTCTTCATTTTTAGGGAAGAGCACAGTCCACGCATGTCATGACATTGTCTGGATGGGAAGGGGTGCATTTTTAAAGGTCTCATCCGCATGCGCTGCAGCCTTTTCCTGCTGCCACCCCCAGCTGGCCCCCATGTTCCAGTATTCACCACCAAAGGGTGTTTTTGGAGGGCTTCGAAGAAAAATTAGATATTGAGATAGTGCTATAACTATATCGATAACAGCCAGCGCGGTGTAGAGAGTTAAAGTGTTGGACTAGGGAAACCCAGGTTTGAACCCCCCACTCTGCCACAGTCTAACCTACCTCTCAGGGTTGTTGTGAGGGTAAAGCAGAGGCGAGGAGAATGATGCAAGCTACTTTGGGCCCCCATTGGGGAGAAAGGTGGGATATAAAGTAAGTAAATAAATAAAATGACTGCAGGAAAGCATGCAGAAAACTTTGTGCGGAAGCTCCATTGCAGCTGGAGCAGCCCTGTAGCTAAGGACTTTTTAGGGAGGGGGCCTAGAGGGCCCCACCTAATCCAATCAAAGGCTCCAGGGTAAGGGCTGCAGTGGTCGCAGCTTCTCTCCCCCTCCCCTCCCACAAGGGCAAGCCTTCCCTGTGGAGCGTCCGGGTCTAGCTCCCTCCCTCCCCAAGGAGCCCCAGTGCCTCCTCCCGCAGCACAGCACCAGAGGAAATCACTGCCCTTGTCCTCCCTTGCCAACAGGCTGACAGGCAATCAGAGGGAGTTGGGGTAGGGAAGCCAAGGCTCAGGAAGGGGGCCCATAAAACTGTTAGGGGGCCGGGCCCCGTGGGCCCCGTGTTAGCTACGGGCCTGAGCTGGAGCCACGCGGGGAATTCTCCCCCTGCGGGAGAAGTGGTTATGATGTAAACAACAAGTGGACAAGAGATCCAATCAGAGCTGGTGTGACCCACTTCCTAAATAGCAGCAACCACGACCGGTTAACTGCCTACCTGGTGATAATTCAGCATCCTAAGCAGCTCCACTGCTTACCACAGCAAGACACTCACCCTCTTTCTGTTGGCAGAGTGTAGATATGCAGTAAAAGGGAACACAAGCCGTTTAAGGAATTAAGTCAGTTTGGCGTAGTGGTTAAGTGTGCGGACTCTAATCTGGGAGAACCGGGTTTGATTCCCCACTCCTCCACTTGCACTTGGCTGGATGACCTTGGGCAAGCCGTAGTTCTGATAAGAGCTGTTCTTGAAAAAGAGCAGTTTCTGTCAAGAGCTCTCTCAGCCCCACCTACCTCACAGGGGGTCTGTTGTGGGGAGGGGAAGGGAAAGGAGTTTGTAAGCCACTCTGAGACACCTTCGAGTAGTGAAGGGCTGGATATAAATCCAATCTCTTCTCTTCTTCTATGTCAGTTTTTAAAGAAGAGAACAAACTTCGTAAGAAAGAGTAGATAGAAAGAGACGTCCGACTGTCTAATTAGCTAGGAGGGAGTCAGTAATGAACAGTTCTCAGAAGGGGGGGAGGGGAACCTAACTGAGCCAATAAGAAGACAGGGAGGCGACTGTTCGAAAATAGTAGGAAATCTCTAACCTTGCTATGCTAACTAGTTGTCTCCTCTGCTGCCCCCTGCAGGATGTTCTTGTCATTTTCTTTATCTATGCACGATAGACCTTGCATATTCCAACACTTTCTAGAGTCCAAGTTTTGCAGTTCCCAACTTTCTGATGGATTCTTGCTCTGTGGCTTTATATGCTGGAGCCCTCCCCTTTGAAACCTTTCCGTGAATAATGGCATGATGTGGAATGGGGACCCCTTTCCCCCTGCCCTTCTCCGTGAGCAATTGATGCTTGTTGATTTAAGGCACCGGTTCATGATTCTGTCTAAGAGGGGTGGCAACAAATTTGGAGGTCCCACCAGATTCTTTGCACTCTGCTTTCCAGGCCATCCTGTCCCACATGAAGATAGAATGCAAGTGCCATGGGGTATCGGGCTCCTGCGAGGTCCGCACTTGCTGGAAGGTCATGTCCCCGTTCCGCAAAGTGGGCGGCATCCTGAGGGACAAGTTTGAAGGCGCCACCGAAGTGCATCCCAAACGCGTGGGCTCCCGGAAGCTGCTGGTGCCAAAGAGTTCCCACTTCAAGCCCTACGGCACTCATGACTTGGTCTACTTGGCGGCCAGCCCCGATTTCTGCAACTGGGACCCACACGGAGGGATCTTCGGCACCACGGGCCGTCACTGTAACCGGACTTCCGCCGCCCTGGACGGCTGCGAGCTGCTGTGCTGCGGGCGAGGCTTCCGCACAGCCCAGGCGGAGGTGGTCGAAAGGTGCAGCTGCAAGTTCCGCTGGTGCTGCGCGGTCAAGTGCAGACAGTGCCGGAACTTGGTGGAAGTGCACCGCTGCCGGTAGGAAGAGAGGCTTGCTGGGCAGAGAGATCCTGGGGCAGGGGCGGGGTGACAAGTGATTGACAGAAAGGTAAAGTGGGCGCTTCCTTTGGCAGGCTGCAAGAAGGGGGCTCTGGAGAATTCAGGGGCACACCTCTCCCCAGTGTAGCCACAGCAACATCCCTCAGGCAGAGAGGTTTCATGTTTGCTCTGTTTGGCTGGCACCATCATGGAAATAGTTTCAGGTGGGGTAGCCGTCTTGATTCGAAGCAGCAGAACAAAGTTTGAGTCCGGTGGCACCTTTAAGACCAACAAAGTTGAATGCTGGGTATAAGCTTTCGTGTGCATGCGCACTTCATCAGGCACCATATCTGAAGGAGTGCACATGCACGGTAGGGTCGCTATTCCCCAGTTGGTAGTGGGGGATCCCCTGTTTTGGGGGGTTTCCACCTACTGCCAGGAGGAAACCCCACCCCCATCAGTGGAAAGAAATGGAATGCACTGACGTAATGCAGCGATGCTCTTGTTATGGGGCAAAATTCTACGATTTGAGATTGCTCTTACCATAGAGTTTTGCCCAAAAAACGAG